GCCGCCTTCTTCTGAGGTAAATCTTCTTCTCAATAAATGGACATGAGTCTTGATTATAAAGAACTGATCAAGGAAATCTTTATTTAAGGATTCACTGACAATTCCAGGCACTGACTTGCCTTTTTCTCCCTTCCGCTTTCCCCTTCGCTCATGAGCTAATTCCTAATTAGCTGACTCTGTAAACACACAAGCTGAAGACTTAAACCCCCGGGTTCAGGGTCTCCACACACCAGAACCCAACTTTCACTTTTGTCCGCTGACTAAAAGGAACGCACTCTTTCCAAACGCCTGCCCCGGCCGAGTGGCAGTTAGCTCCGCCCCTTTGGCTTCCCTAACTTGGATACATTCTCACAGCCGGTTCCATCGCTATGGCAACGCCTCAGCTCAGGCGACACATCAGCTGGCCTGCACTTACATCGTAACATTAATAAACATTTTTAAAACATACATTATAATTAGCTATTTCATTACAGCCTCTAACCAATGGCAGATAGCAAGCCGCATGGCAGAGAAGGACGGGCACATACGAGTCACTCCCATCCATCTCTCCAGATTCCGTCCCTGTCACGTCATCTCCTCTGTTTTCTTAACCCTTTAGATTGCTGTGCTGTGAACACGTCTATTAAGATCTTATTACACGTTGGAGTAAGTGTCATGCATCCCTATCCATCTTTTTCTACACGACAGTCATGTGGTGTAGACAGTGGGGGGGGGGGGTCCACATGAACCCAAAAAACTATTCCGTGGCTGCCTCCCCCCCCCTCCCTTCCGAGGAAGAAGCCCTTCCTTCTTTCCACAACCTGTGGGTCTCTCCCCGGATGCGTTTTGGCCTTCACCTCCCAGAAATCCTCACAACTGGCCAACTGGCTGGGATTTCTGGGAGTTGTAGGCCACAACACCTGGGGAGAGACCCACAGGGTGAGACCCACCACTCTAAGTTAAGCAGACACAGCTCTTTTTAGACATTCCCTACTGTTGTCTCTGGCTTGTCAATATCCATCTTGAGTTGTGCTGCCCAGAACGGGAGACAGAGCGATTGCAGTTGAGGTCTGAGCAAAGCAAGAGAAAGGAGGCTGTGACTTCCTTGGACGTAGACACCACGTCTCCTCTTGGCACAGCCTAGAACCACGCTGGCATTTGTGGCTGCCACATCACACTCGGTTTTTTCAAAGTAGTTTTTATTCAAAGGCAAGAAAGAAAAACATGTTTATGCAAATTACAATTTGGGTTTTTTTAAAAAGGAATCCTTAACAAACGAGAAAGACTGAACAACACACAATAATAAGAACAAAACTAAGAGAACCAATCAACACAATGCTTGCCTCATGCTGATTTTCATCTGTATTCATTCACTTTAAATGCTGCTCTATATTCTCTCTTCCATTTCTAAATATAGTAAACTCATTCCTAAAACCCACAATAAACAAATGTTCTCTCAGTGTTATAACTCGTGAATTATTAGTGAGTCCCAATCTTGTTTCATAGAATCCTAGAGTTGGAAGAGACCCCCTCCTGGGCCATCATCCGGTCCAACCCCCATTCTGCCAAGAAGCTGGAAAATTGCATTCAAATCACCACCGACAGATGGCCATCCAGCTTCTGTTTAAAAGCTTCCAAGGAAGGAGCCTCCACCACACTCCCTCTGGGGCAGAGAGTTCCACTGCTGAACGGCTCTCACAGTCAGGACGTTCTTCCTCATGTTCAGGTGGAATCTCCTGCCTTGTGGTTTGAAGCCATGGCTCAATTAAGTCCTCGTCTCCTGGGCAGCAGAAATCAAGCTTTCTCCCTCCATTTCCCCCAAAATAAGACAGTATTTCTTTTTCAAGAAGACACACTATGGCTTATTTTCAGGGGATGTCTTATTTGTATATCCATGGCCAGGACTCCAGTGCTCAGGTGGAGAGGAGGAGGAGGAGACCCAGGGCTTGGTCCCTCCTTGGATGGGACAGGCGACGCCTTCCTCCCTCAGTCTTCCCCCCACTTTCCCAGCACCCCTTTCCCACCCCCATCTTCCCTTTTTCTAGTTCCCCCTTCCTACCCCGTCTTTACTACCCCATTCCCCTCTCTCTCCACTCTCCATCCCAGCCTCTCCGAGGTTCCAGCCCCCCTTTCCCACCTCAATCTTTCCCCTTCCCCAGTGGCCCCTTCTCACCCTAATCTCTCTTACTTTTCCAGAGACCCCCTTTCCACCTCACTTTCCCACTTTTTCCAAACACTCATAGAATCATAGAATCAAAGAGTTGGAAGAGACCTCATGGGCCATCCAGTCCAACCCCATTCTGCCAAGAAGCAGGAATAATGCATTCAAATCACCCCTGACAGATGGCCATCCAGCCTCTGTTTAAAAGCTTCCAAAGAAGGAGCCTCCACCACACTCCGGGGCAGAGAGTTCCACTGCTGAACGGCTCTCACAGTCAGGAAGTTCTTCCTCATGTTCAGATGGAATCTCCTCTCTTGTAGTTTGAAGCCATTGTTCCATTGCGTCCTAGTCTCCAGGGAAGCAGAACGGAAGCTCCCTCCCTCCTCTTCCCTGTGGCTTCCTCTCACATATTTATACATGGCCCTCATCATGTCTCCTCTCAGCCTTCTCTTCTTCAGGCTAAACATGCCCAGCTCCTTAAGACGCTCCAACCATTCCAACTTTTTCTCCGTTTCCTGTCCTTCTTTCCCACCCCCTTCCCAAGTCAGTCTTTCCCACTTTCTATTATTCATATACACACAGCATTTTCCCCAAAATGTATACTATAGTTAAAATTGTATTCTATTATTATATCATTTATTATTTTACTCTATTGCTACTACATTTATTATTTTATTGTGTTATTAGTATTTATTATTTTTCTCTATTTATTATTCATACATTTATTTTTCTCTATTATTATTATTATTACTACATTTATTATTTTACTCTATTTATTGTTCTTATTATTACATTTATTATTTTGCCCTATTTATTATTATTAATACATTTAATATTTTACCCTATTTATTATTATTGGAGGGATACGTAAGCACATTTACACTGAAGAAGGCTAGAATAATGATTTAATCAGAGTGGGACAGTCTTATCTTAAATTACAGTTTTATGCAATTATTCAGAAACATTTAACCTACTGATGCCTCAATTAATGTAATTTTATTGGTATCGATTTTTATTCTCGAAATTTACCAAGAGCTGCTGCATTTCCCACCCTCAGCTTATACTCAAGTCAATAAGTTTTCTCAGGTTTTGTGCTAAATTAGGTGCCTCGTCTAAAATTCAGTCGGCTTATACTCAAGTATATATGACATGTAGCTACTCCCCTGTGTGGGTCCTTTGATGGGTACGCAGAGTCCCACTCTGACTGAAGCTCTTTCCACATTCCACGCATTTATATGGCTTCTCCCCTGTATGGGTTCTTTGATGGATACTCAGATGTCCACTCCGAATGAAGCTCTTTCCACATTCCATGCATTTATATGGCTTCTCCCCTGTATGGATCCTTTGATGGATACGCAGATCTCCACTCTGACTGAAGCTCTCTCCACATTCCACGCATTTATGTGGCTTCTCCCCTGTATGGATCCTTTGATGGATACGCAGATTTCCACTTTCACTGAAGCTCTTTCCACATTCCATGCATTTATGTGGCTTCTCCCCTGTATGGATGCTTTGATGGATACGCAGATGTCCATCGTGACTGAAGCTCTTTCCACATTCCATGCATTTATGTGGCTTCTCCCCTGTATGGGTTCTTTGATGGGTACGCAGATTTCCACTTTTACTGAAGCTCTTTCCACATTCCACACATTTATGTGGCTTCTCCCCTGTATGGGTCCTACGATGGGAATGCAGATGTCCACTCTGACTGAAGCTCTTTCCACATTCCATGCATTTATATGGCTTCTCCCCTGTGTGGGTCCTTTGATGGATACGCAGACTTCCACTCCGATTGAAGCTCTTTCCACATTCCATGCATGTATACGGCTTCTCTCCTGTGTGAGTCCGTTGATGTGTAGCAAGAGAACTTCTCACAGTGAAACATGTTCCACAGTCCATACAGTTATGTCGCTTCTCCCCTGTGTGTGATTTTGACAAGGAATGGAGATTTTCCATTCTTTTGCATTTATGATTCTAATATTATGCCAGAAGATCACAGATATGTTCTCCTGATTTCCTCTTCTCAGTCTTTGTATTGCTCTACTGTTTACAGCACAATCCTCCCTTTCCTCCTTGAATGCAAAGCTATGTAGCTTGAAATATAATTTCTCCAGCTTATTTCTTGTGAGTGCTCTGTAATTTCATTTCTGACATAAGACAAAGGGAAGTGTTCTTCACAAGGTTCATTCAGAGGTTACCTGCCAGAGAAAGGAGAGGAAAATCTTATCAGGATCAGAGCACAGAAATACCTCATTGAACAACAAGAACAATAGCTTCGTGCTGTCGCCAATGCCGGAGAAGAAGGGAGAAAGAGCGGTCCGATGGAGAAGAGCCTTTGCCTGCTGAGAAGAACTTTAACACTTGCCCAACCAAGAGCAAGCTCTGCATGACATTGTTTGCATTGCAGTGTGTTAACCAACCTTTGTAAAGGAAGCCTTCTAACAATATGGTCAGCACAGAAAGGTCGAAAGCTGTAAAGCATTTTCTGTCTAGATCCGCTTCCTCACATCCCAACTCAGAACCTGAGTGACCACCTCTATGAGCAGATCATCCCAAGTGGTCAGTCTTGTGAGACAAATACTTTATTTCTTCCAACTCAGGAAACAAATATGTCCCTGATCCTGAGGGAAAAGGAGGGGAAAATGGGGATTGGAACCCTCAGAGGGAATCTGTGGAGTAGCCTAGAATTTTTAGAAAAACAAGGCCCCCAAATATAATTTTTGTTTGTTTGTTTGTTTGTTTTTTTGTGGTCAAAAGCGCAATCCATTCTCTAGCTGCAGAACTGGACCTCCTCAAAAATGATATCCCTTCATCCAGATCAGTGGTTCTCCACCTTTCTCATGCCGTGACCCCTAAATACACTTCCTCATGTTGTGGAGACCCCCAAACATATTTTCATTGCTACTTCATAACTGCTACTGTTATGACTTGTAACGTAAATATCTGATATGCAGGATGTGTTTTTATTGTTACAAACTGAACACAATTAAAGCATAGTGATTAATCACAAAAACAATATGTTTCGGGAGTATGGACAACGGATGAAGGGATTTGCAGTTCCTTCACCCAATTCAGCTCTGACTGCCACAGACTGCTGAGAACCCCGAAAATTACAGACCAGAACCAAACGTGGCACAGAGAACCCCCATGACCAACAGACAATACTGGAGGGGGTTGGGATGAATGGACAGTGATTTAGGGGAGATGTAGTTCACCTACATCTGGAGAGCACTGTGAACACAAACAACTATGGATCTGGACCAAACTTGGCAAAAGTACTCAATACGACCAAATCTGAACACTGGTGAAGTTTGGGGAAAATAGACCTTGGCATTTGGGAGTTACAGTTGCTTGGACTCCATCTGCCATCAAAGAGCATTCTGAACACCAACAACTAAACTGAACCAAACTTGGTATGAAGAACTCCCATGACCAACAGAAAATGCTGGAGAAGTTTGGGGAACATACAAAGCCCTAAACGGTTCCGGCCCAAAATACCTTTCGGACCGCATCTTGGCCTATGAGCCCACGAGGACCTTGAGATCGTCTGGGGAGGCCCTTCTCTCGATTCCGCCTGCCTCACAGGCACATCTGGCGGGGACGAGAGAGAGGGCCTTCTCAGTGGTGGCCCCCCGGCTGTGGAACGCCCTCCCTGCTGACATCAGACAGGCGCCCTCTCTCATGGCTTTCCGTAAGAGCCTAAAGACCTGGCTCTTCGAGAAGGCATTTAACTAAGTGCCAGACTAATTGACAATGACAATCGGAACGGAATATGGATTATGAGACTGGTAGGTTCCTAAGTTGTGACGGTGCGGATTAGTTAGTGTAAGTTAGATTAATGTGTTATATGGTTTGTTGATGTACTCTGTGCTTTTTGTAAACTGTTTTTATATGTTGTACACCGCCGCGAGTCGCCCTAGGGCTGAGAGCGGCGGTCAACAAATGCATTAAATAAATAATAAATAAATAAACACAGACCCTGACATTTGGGAGTTACAGTTGCTTCAAAGGCAACCCCACATAGAGGTCTTGAAAGGCAACCCCACATAGAGTGTGTTGCAGTAGTCTATCCTGGGTGTAACGAGAGCATGGACCACCGTGGCCAAGTCTGGCTTCCCAAGGTACGGGCACAACTGGCATACAAGTTTTAATTGTGCGAAAGACCCCCTAGCCACCGCTGCAAACTGTGGTTCCAGGCTCAGTGGTCAGTCCAGGAGAACTCCCAAGCTGCGAACGTGTGCCTTCAAGGGGAGTGTAACTCCATCCAGCAGAGACCGAGACCCTTTACCCTCTTTGGCCTTTCGACTGACCAGGAGGGCCTCTGTCTTGTCAGGATTCAACTTCAGTCTGTTCGCCCTCATCCAGACTGTCACAGCGGCCAAGCACCCATTCACAACCTGGACAGCCTGCTTCGCATCTGGTGGAAACGAGTGATAGAGTTGGCCGTCATCTGCGTACAGGTGGCATCAAACTCCAAAACTCTGGATAATCTCACCCAGCGGCTTCATGTAGATATTAAACAACATGGGGGACAATACTGAGCCCTGTGGGACACCATAGGACAATGGCTGTGGGGCCGAGCAGGAGTCCCCCAACAACACCTTCTGGGAACGACCCTCCAGGAAGGGCTGAGCCACTGCAGAAGAGGACCCCCAAGACCCATCCCCACAAGGCATCCCAGAAGGATACCGTGATAGGGGCCCCCGACCACTGGAACTCCCCTCCCTCCCTCTTTGATCTCTCTTCCTGTCCTTAGGCCAACGTGGTTCAACGGAAGTCCTGGCCTGGGGGGTGGGAAAACAAAGGCCATTGGGCTGGGGAGTAGCTAATCGGGAGCTCCTGGGCTGAGGGGTGAGGAGGAGTAAAGGGCTATTAGGCTGAGGGATCAAGGATAAAGGGCTCTTGGACTGAAGGAGAGAGGATGATGGGCTATGAGGCTGGAAAATAGGGGGTAGGAAGCTATTGGACTGGGGGATAGGGGAACGAGGGCTGTTGGGCTGAGGAATAGGGATGGATAAGAGTCAGTCCTGGGGGGAGGAGGGGGGCTCTTCCTTTCCCCTCCCCTCCTTTATCTGAACCCCCCTCCCTCCCTCCAAGAGGAACTCTCTCCGCAAAAGCCTCCTTTGTGCTGGGGGAAAACCCGTGTTCATTCTCTACAGGGATTGAGAGATAAAAAGGGGTTGTTGGGAGTTGAATCAACTGTGAGAAAAGCAAAGTTGAGAGAGGCAGTAATTACAAAGTTTACCCAATAGGTGTTCTATTATTGCTGCTGTTGTTGTTGATTGTAAGGCACGTCTGGCGGGGACGAGAGAAAGGGCCTTCTCGGTGGTGGCCCCCCGGCTGTGGAACGACCTTCCTGCTGACATCAGACAGGCGCCTTCCCTTCTGTCCTTCCGTAAGAGCCTGAAGACCTGGCTATTTGAGAAGGCATTCAACTGAGCGCTACGGCAACTGGTAATTGACAACTGGAACGGAATACGGATTACGGTATTGGTTTGATTCTATGATGTGACGGAGCGGATTATTTAGTGTAACTTAGATTATAGTGTATTATTGTTGTATTGATTTCCTGTTTTGCCCTTTTGTAAACTGTTTTTATATGTTGTGCACCGCCGCGAGTCGCCCTAGGGCTGAGAGCGGCGGTCAATAAATGCAGTAAATAAATAAATAAATAAATATATTTCAAAGACTGAATGAGTCTCCTTCGTATTTGAGCCCGAGCGCAGCCGAGAGCCCCGCCTTCACATTGGTGTGAGCCGCAGCGGAGAGTTCCGCAGTTCCTGGGGGCCAAGTTTGGGACCAACAGATGAAATGCGCCCCAGCAGCCAGCTCAAAACCAGGAATGCCTGTGGTTTCCTTTTGCTTTCCCCTTCTCCATACTTTGTAACATTCCCCTAATAAAGGTACTTGAAACTTGCAACATTTAATCTCTCCGCTTGATACTTTTGTATCTTTCCTTGACTCAAACTAAAGCAACACTAAAATAAACCTTTTTCCAGGCTCCGGAGAGCCGTGAGCCTGCGGGGAGGTGCCTCCGGGCACCCCCCGGACCCCGGATCTGCGTTCGCCCGAACCGCGGATACGGAAACCGCCATTTTGGACCCCCTTATCCGCGAAAATTCATAAAATGGCGGATCGCCGCCGTTCAAATTTTATATTTTTCTGCTACTAATCCTAAGACTGACTGCTATCTCCCTTTTCTCATTTTGGACTCCTGTACCCGAGAATAAATTGATTTTGTTCAAAGTATTTTATTTGACAGAAATCAGCTGTTTGTCAATTTGGCCGGTTTCTTCCAAGACAGCCCGTTTCTCCTCAGCGCTGCTCGCTCCTGCCTGGCCCCAGCAACCGGGGACCCACTGTGGTCGCCCATAGGAGACCCCGGGAGGGCGGCCAGATGTGAGTCCCGGTCTCTGGCGAGAGAGACATAGTTTTCCAAAGGACGGACAATGGACACTATCACCATTTCACCCAGCGATCATCCTTGGACCTTCCTTGCCTTCTCTTATTGACTTTCTGCCTCACACTTCGGACTGTTTTTGTCATATCTTTGGACAACAAACCTCCTGACAAGGCTTGCCTTGAAGTGCAAGCAGCCTCCGTTTCCGCGCGCCTTCACCAAGGGACCATGAAATCCCCCGTTTGATTCAATAATAAAAAATCAAATATTTTAATAAACTTTGCTTGGGATGGGTATGGGATTGTCTTATGAAATATATGTGATGAAATGTTGTATAGAGTATACTGTGTTCCCGTTTCCCGCCTTTCCTGCTGACCCTTGTCCCATAAAGCACTCTATATCCTGCTGCTGTTTGGAGGGGGGTGGACCATGGATGATGGGACTTCAAGTACCTTCACTCACTTCCTGAAAACACTGCCACCCTCATCCAATGACTGATAAAGACCAAACTTGGCACACAGAGCCCCCATGACGCACTCTACATTCTGCTGCAGTTTGAAGGAGGATGGATTTTGGATGATGGGACTTGCAGTACCTTCACTCACTTACTGAAAACACTGCCACCCTCATCCAATGACTGATAAAGACCAAACTTGGCACACAGAGCCCCCATGACGCACTCTACATTCTGCTGCAGTTTGAAGGAGGATGGATTTTGGATGATGGGACTTGCAGTACCTTCACTCACTTACTGAAAACACTGCCACCCTCATCCAATGACTGATAAAGACCAAACTTGGCACACAGAGCCCCCATGACGCACTCTACATTCTGCTGCAGTTTGAAGGAGGATGGATTTTGGATGATGGGACTTGCAGTACCTTCACTCACTTACTGAAAACACTGCCACCCTCATCCAATGACTGATAAAGACCAAACTTGGCACACAGAGCCCCCATGACCCACTCTATATCCTGCTGCTGTTTGGAGGGGGGTGGACCATGGATGATGGGACTTCAAGTACCTTCACTCACTTCCTGAAAACACTGCCACCCTCATCCAATGACTGATAAAGACCAAACTTGGCACACAGAGCCCCCATGACGCACTCTACATTCTGCTGCAGTTTGAAGGAGGATGGATTTTGGATGATGGGACTTGCAGTACCTTCACTCACTTACTGAAAACACTGCCACCCTCATCCAATGACTGATAAAGACCAAACTTGGCACACAGAGCCCCCATGACGCACTCTACATTCTGCTGCAGTTTGAAGGAGGATGGATTTTGGATGATGGGACTTGCAGTACCTTCACTCACTTACTGAAAACACTGCCACCCTCATCCAATGACTGATAAAGACCAAACTTGGCACACAGAGCCCCCATGACGCACTCTACATTCTGCTGCAGTTTGAAGGAGGATGGATTTTGGATGATGGGACTTGCAGTACCTTCACTCACTTACTGAAAACACTGCCACCCTCATCCAATGACTGATAAAGACCAAACTTGGCACACAGAGCCCCCATGACGCACTCTACATTCTGCTGCAGTTTGAAGGAGGATGGATTTTGGATGATGGGACTTGCAGTACCTTCACTCACTTACTGAAAACACTGCCACCCTCATCCAATGACTGATAAAGACCAAACTTGGCACACAGAGCCCCCATGACCCACTCTATATCCTGCTGCTGTTTGGAGGAGGGTGGACCATGGATGATGGGACTTCAAGTACCTTCACTCACTTCCTGAAAACAATGCAACCATCATTCAATGACCAATAATGACCAAACTTGGAATACAGAACCGCCATTACCCACTTTCTCTAATAACCCAGGCAACGCCGGGTCCCCAAGCTAGTACATAATAAAAACAAACAGTCAATAATTATAAATAGTTAAAAACAATTAAAATCTAGTAAAAAGTACCACATTAGTCGCCATTATTAGCCGAAAACTGGGGTTGGATGCTCCATCCAATTCATCCCTAATCCATTTCCAAGCCATTGTCAACGTTCGCTTCATTACCCGAAGGCCTTGTCCCACACCCACGTTTTTAACTTTTTTCTGAAGGTGAGGGTGGATGAAAATGACCTAATTTCCCCAGGGAATGAGTTCCACAGGCGGGAGGCCACCACCGAGGAGGCCCTGTCCCTCGTCCCCGCCAAGTGTGTTTGAGACAGAGGTGGGGCCGAGAGCAGGGCCTCCCCAGAAGAACTCCAAGGTGGGACATAGAAGGAGATACGTTCGGACAGGTACACTGGAGCGGAGCCGTATAGGGTTTTATAGGTCAAAACCAGCACTTTGAATTGTGTTGGGAATTGGATTGGCAGCCGGTGGAGCTGACATATTGTTGTATGGTTGTCTAATTAGAATCAATTAATATTCAAAGACCTATTTATTGATTCTATTTAAATAATTAGAATCAATTGATATTCAAAGACCTCAACGTGGACTTCTGGTTTAGGAATGGCAGCAAACTAAATGACAAACAGCTCTGTTCATAGACATTAGCAAGATTTGTGCCTGCAATGAGCTCAAAATGAGGGCGGGAGTACACCTGGCTACACATAAATAAGCCAAGACCTTTGCAAACAGTGTTGTACACGGGGGAAGCTGTGATATTGTGGGAGTCTCCTGGAGGATTGCAGCTCCCTAGATGGATCGCCATTGAGGGGAAGCAAGGAGAGACGGGCACGCGCATAACCCTTACTGGTGTTTTCAGCTACACTGCCGACCTCCGACCCTCTTTCCCAACCTGGTCACCTTCCCTCAAGATCTCCCATTAGAATCAAAGGAGGAGGAGGAGGAGGAAAGGAAACAACGAAATAATGACTCTCTACCGTCAAGTATTTGAGCATAACTATATAAACTGTTACCCTATTGCATACGAACAGGGATCTCTAACCCATATCGACAAAGAGATAACCCAGAAAAGAAGGAAGGAAGGAAGAGGAGAAACAAGAATGAATGGGAAAGTTTTCCTCATAGAAGAAGGAAGGAAGGAAGGAAGGAAGGAGAGGAGGGAGGAAGGAGGGAAGGAAGGAAGGAAGAAAGGGGAAGGAAGGAAGGAAGGGAAGGAGGGAGGGAGGGAAGGATGGAGGAAGGAGAGGAGGGAGGGAGGGAAGGAGGGGGGAGGGAAGGAAGGAAGGAAGGAAGGAAGGAAGGGAGGGGAAGGAAGGAAGAGGGAAGGAAGGAAGAAGGAAGGAGGGGAGGAAGGAAGGAAGGAAGGAGGGAGGGAAGAAGGAGGGAAGGAGGAGAGGAGGGAAGGGAGGGAGGGAGGGAGGAGGAAGGAAGGAAGGAAGAAGGAAGGAGAGGAGGGAGGGAAGAAGGAAGAGGAAGGAAGGGGGGAGGGAGAGGAGGGATGGAGGGAAGGAAGGAAGGAAGGAAGGAGGAAGGAAGGGGAGGAAGGAGGAGGGAAAGGGAGGAAGGAGGAGGAAGGAAGGAGAGGAAGGAAGGAAGGAAAGGAAGGAAGGGAAGGAAGGGAGGGGAGGGAAGGAAGGAAGGAAGGAAAAGGGAGGAAATGGATGGAAGGAAGGAAGGAATGAAGGAAGAGGAGGAAGGAAGAGGATGGAAGGAAGAAGGAAGAAGGAAAGAAGGAGGGAGGAGGGGAGGGAAGGGAAGGAAGGGAGGAGGAAGGAAGGAAGAGGGAGGAAAGGAAGGAAGGAAGGGAGCTCCTCCGAACTCCCAGGCAGTCTGGGGGAAGGGGGAAGGCCGCCCATCCTGACCCCCTCAGGCACAGAGATAGAGAGAGAGAGAGAGAGAGAGAGAGAGAGAGAGAGAGAGAGATAGAGAGAGAAGGGCGGCTGACCAAGGTCGTCAACAAAGGGAGAGAGAGAGAAGTACGAGAAGGGCCACGCAGGTCGAGGCCTACACCTCACCCACTCACCCCCACTCAGGCCTCCTTCTCTCTCTCTCTCTCTCTCTCTCTCCCTCGTCAACAGGCCCTTAGGCGCTGCCCTCGGCTCCTCCTCTTCCTCCCACTCTCTCTCTCTCTCTCTCTCTCCTCCGGAAGTGAGGAGCTCACGGGGAAAGGCCTCGCCCGAGCCTCCCTCGCCTCTCTAGGACACGGAGCCCGGCCCCTCTCGCTGCGCTTCCGCCAACACCAAACATGGCCATGGCCGCGCGGGGGCTGGGTGCCCAGAGGGAGGCGGGGCTTCCTGGCGGCGCTGCCGAGTCCGGAGCAAGAGCGCCCCTTTCCTTCCTTCCTTCCTTCTCATGCAAAGGCTCAGCACCCTCCCGCCAATAGGAATTCGCCTCTCTCTCCGGCGTCACCAGTCTCCGGGCAGAAACTCCCCCTCCCGAGCGCTTTCCTTCCTTCCTTCCTTCCTCCCTTCCCTCCCATGGGGATGCGCCAATGGGAATCGTCCTCGGCTCCCGCGTCACCGGTCTCCAGGCAGACCCGGCCTCCCTCCCGGGCTGATGCTCCCTCTACTTCTTTTCTTTATCGTGTCATCAGCAACCATTGTATGACAATTCTAACAGAGCAAAACTAAACAAGATTAAAAAGAAAAAGGAAAAAACACACCGATGTTGCAAATGTGGTATTGACCAGTCTCTGGCCCCTTGGAGCGCTGCCTCTCTCTGGTGTGGCCGCAAGCAAGGAGAAGGTCCTCCCTGGCGCATCACGTGGGAGAAGGCTCAGGCGGCATTGCATCGCGGCAGGGGGTCAGTGGTTGGCTCTTCTTCTCCGCACTCGCATGTCGAGGATTATTCCACTTGGGGGAATCCCCATTTCTGGAGGTTGGCTCTGCATCTCGTGGGGCCAGAGCGCAGTCTGTTCAGCGCCTTCCAAGTCACCCAGTCCTCTGTGTTCCCAGGAGGGAGCCTCTCATTTGGTATCAGTTCTGGGTTTGAGCCTGCCACTTTTGGACTCTCGCTTGCTGGGGTGTTCCAGCGAGTGTCTCTGTAGATCTTAGAAAACTATATCTGGATTTAAGTCGTTGGCGTGCTGGCTGATACCCAAACAGAGGATGAGCTGGAGATGTCTCTGCCTTGGTCCTTTCACTATTGGCTGCTACTTCCCGGCAGATGTCAGGTGGTGCAATACCGGCTAAGCAGTGTAGTTTCTCCAGTGGTGTAGGGCGCAGACAGATAATGCGGCATGTCTCATTAAGAGCCACATCTACCGCTTTAGTGTGGTGCATGCGTACTCAGCAGCAGAGTAGCCTAGCGCAAGGGCAGATGTCTTCACTGTATCTGGTTGTGATCCCCAGGTTGTGCCAGTCAGCTTTTGTATGATGTTGTTTCTAGCGCCCACCTTTTGCTTGATGTTCAGGCAGTGCTTCTTGTAGGCCCTCTTGTGTGCTCCCTCTGCCATTCAGAGAGAGAGGAGGAGAGTGGGGGAAGGAGGCCAGCCAGCCTGGAGATGGACCACAGCCTCACCCAATGACCACTCAGCCCAATCCCCAAGCCTGGCCCCCCACTCCCTCCCTCACTCCCTCCCTCCCTGCCTGTTGGCTTGGCCTTCTGTTCTTGGGTTCTCTGCTGCTGTCAGTGGTGTTTGGGCTGAATAAAGTGTATTATTATTATTATTATTATTATTATTATTATTATTGTGTGTTCTGCTCCCCTTCAGTCTCTCTCTCCCTCTCCCTCTGTGTGTGTCTCAGAAATAGTAAACATCAACTAGGGAGACTTAATGACAAAAAGGCAAGCCAAGCTCTGAAAAGGTGACGTGGGGGCAGTTTGATAGAAGCAGCTCTCAGTGTGAGAAGGCCTCAGTGTGAGAGAAGCCCCAGGCGGAAGGCCTCTGTTGTGAAGCTCCTGTGTCAGTTTGGAGTCAGAGGAGGCTCTTCCTGGGCTTCTTCCTCCTGCAGATCAACAGCTTTGCCCTCACAAAAGGTGACGTGGGGGCAGTTTGATAGAAGCAGCTCTCAGTGTGAGAAGGCCTCAGTGTGAGAGAAGCCCCAGGCGGAAGGCCTCTGCTGTGAAGCTCCTGTGTCAGTTTGGAGTCAGAGGAGGCTCTTCCTGGGCTTCTTCCTCCTGCAGATCAACAGCTTTGCCCTCACAAAAGGTGACGTGGGGGCAGTTTGATAGAAGCAGCTCTCAGTGTGAGAAGGCCTCAGTGTGAGAGAAGCCCCAGGTGGAAGGCCTCTGCTGTGAAGCTCCTGTGTCAGTTTGGAGTCAGAGGAGGCTCTTCCTGGGCTTCTTCCTCCTGCAGATCAACAGCTTTGCCCTCACAAAAGCCTCCTCTGACTCCAAACTGACACAGGAGCTTCACAGCAGAGGCCTTCCGCCTGGGGCTTCTCTCACACTGAGGCCTTCTCACACTGAGAGCTGCTTCTATCAAACTGCCCCCACGTCACCTTTGTGAGGGCAAAGCTGTTGATCTGCAGGAGGAAGAAGCCCAGGAAGAGCCTGTTAGACCAGGAAGGAAGAAAGGAAGGAAGGAAGGAAGGGGAAGGCCTCTGAGTGTGTGTGTGGGGGGGGGAGGAAGCTAACGGAAAGGGTCTCAAGGCCCTCCTGAGGGCGAGAAAGGATGAGACCTCCTCCCCCCTCAGAAGTAGGACAAGAGGAATTCTCTTTGGAGGGAAGAGGGGGGGGGTCCCTCTGCCTCCCAAACACAGCACCCCCCCCCATATTCCCCAGAGGAGAAGGGAAGGCACCTTTCCCATGAGGTATCTCAAACTGAACTGACACAGCCCTCCCCCCCCCCCCCTCTCACTAAGACCATCCTTTGACCGCAAACCAGCTTCGGTTATGGAACACCTTCCCATCCCATGCCTACTCAATCCAATCCACAACCCTGCCCCTCCCTCCCTCTCTTTCCACCTGTTGGGTTGGGCTTCTCTTCTGCTCCCCTTCAGTCTCTCTCTCTCTCTCTCTCTCTCTCTGTGTCAGAAATATTAAACATTAACTAGGTAGACTTGATTACAAAAATTTAAGCCAAACTCTGAAAAGCTTAAATGGATGCAGTTCAATATAAGCAGGTGTGCCTGGAGCTCAGCAGGCCTCAGTGTGAGAAGGCCTCAGTGTGAGAAGGCCCAGGTTGAAGGCCTCAGGTGTGAAGCTCCTGTGTGAGGCTCCTGTGTAAGTTTGTTGTGAGGAGGAGCCTCTGTGAGGGCAAAGCTGTTTATCTGCACGAGGAAGAAGCCCAGGAATCATGTGTTAGGCCAGGAAGGAAGGGGAAAGCCTCTGAATGTGTGGGGGGGAGCCAATGGAAAGGGTCTCAAGGCCCTCCTGAGGGCGAGAAAGGATGAGACCCCCTCCCTCCCTCTGAAGTAGGACAAGAGGAATTCTCTTTGGAGGGAAGGGGGGGGGGGTCCCTTGGGAAGGAAAGGAAGGGCAGGGCCACTGTCTTGTGTAGATTTCTTCCAACTCAGGAAAAAAATATGTTCCTGACCCTCTCTTTCCCAGCAGCGTGGGAAAGATCCCTGCCCCACGTTTCTAAAGCAAGGCACCTGGAGACATTGAGAGCACATTAGGCTGCAGAGCTCTTGATATATTGCATTCTTACAAAACCTATACCACAAAGGTGTGAAACATCAGGCAGAACAAATGCAAAGAAAAAAACAAAGGAAAATGCAAACTTCTACACCGAAACCACAAAAATGGAGATAGGGATGCAGAAGCACAGGGTGGGAGGCAGTCAGCCTAGCAGCAGGACACGGGAGAAGGGGTGTAGAGAGGATGGGTGGATGGATGGATGGACCCCCAGTGCTAAAGGTGACGTTTGTGCAATGGCTCAAGGGGCAGGAGGGAAGCCATCCAGTTCACTGCATCCACCTCAGGCCCCTCTTCGGCCCTCGGAGCCCATTTGCAGGGGTTTCATTGAGGATCACCTGCCAGGTGAGCTGAGGCTGTCACCTGAGTAGTGCCAGGCTTGTTTCCTATGCAGGACATTGCATAGCTTGTGCCACCAGGTAAATGGCCCCCCAATTCACCAGAGAGTTTGTTGATCACATTGACAAGTACCATGGCTTTCTCCTCACAGTAACTGCCGATTGCAGGCCCCCCTTTGCCTCCTAGTTTTGGGGAGGGCTCTTCAGTCTCCTGGGAGTACGGCCAGCTCTGAGTCCTGCTTGTTGCCCTCCAACGTATTGGCCCAACTGAGAGCGTCCAGCAGGTGCCTCAGCAACACCTGGATTACTGCTTTAATGGCCAACAAGGGGACAGGTTGGGACTGCTTACCTTTCCGGGGTTGACTCAGAATAGGCTTCTAATAGGCATTAACTGTTTATTTTTAATAGTGTCAATGTTTAATTTTAATGTGTGTATTTTTCGGCTGTAAAGTATATTGGTTAGGCCACACTTGGAATATTGTGTCCAATTCTGGGAGGAGGAAGAGAGGAAACATCAAAACAATGATTCTATACCTCAGCGGTTCTCAACCTGGGGGTCACGACCCCCAGGGGGGTCATTTGGCCATTTCGAAGGAGTCACGAGGCCACCTCCTTAGGCCCCGCCCCCAATGCCGCGGCCCAGCCAAGGGCTCTCCTCCCACTAAAGCCCCATCACCATCCTCCCCTCATGTTGATTCATGTAGGAACCAATGATACTGCAAGGCATACGTTTCAAAAGATCACAAATGATTTTCGAGCTCTAGGAGCAAAGCTAAAAGAATGTAATGTACAGGTGGTCTTTTCATCCCTCCTCCCTGTTGTAAGACACGGACCCACAAGAGCCAGAAAAATAGTACAGGTCAATAACTGGCTTAGAAAATGGTGTCAGGAGGAACGCTTTGGCTTCCTCGACCATGGCCTGCTTTTCCAGGAGGATGGCCTACTGGCAAGGGATGGGGTGCATCTCACACAAGTAGGAAAACACCTTTTTGCTCACAGACTCGCAAACCTCATTAGACGCACTTTAAACTAGGTCCACCGGGGAGGGGGACAACAGCCTTGCGAACACTACTTTACCCATAATGTCTGGGAATCGCCAGAAGGCTAAACGGAGGGCTGCACAAACACAACAAGGACCAAGTACCAAAAGCACAATAATCCCAATTAAACAGCTCAAGGGAAGATCTCAGGGGCTCACATGTCTTTACACTAATGCACAGAGCATGGGAAATAAACAAGACGAACTCCAACTTTTAGCACAACACCACAAATATGATATCATAGGGATCACTGAAACCTGGTGGGATGACTCCTATCGCTGGAATGTAGATATCGAGGGGTATAAC